CGAGCACGCGAGTGAGAACGAGAGATAGAGGTAGAGAGAGACAGATAGTGAGCACAGAGAGATATATTCATACACGCACACGCACACACACGCACACATACGTGTGTGAGGAAGAAGTCGGTGTTGTTTTGTGTGAGAGTGGATGTCGATTGAAATTTTTGTTTTCCTTTATTCGTTCGTTCGCTCCTTCTTTTTCATGAAATATTCTTTCATTGCTTCTTTTTTTTTTCTTCTTCGTTTTAACCTCACACTTATTCGGTGTTATTCGTGTCCCTTTTTTTTTTTTTGTAGTTTTGTTCATTTACGTTATCATTATTTCGATGTCATCTGATTTTTTTTCGACTGATAAAATGAAAAAAAAAAAAAAAAGGGTTTTTTTTTTTCACCTTTTTTCTTACTCAAAAAAAATTAAAAAATTTTTCTTCCTTCTTTTTTTGTTTGCAACACTACCAAACATATATTGGTACACATATATAAATATATGTATGGCTATTATTTTATATTTTAATGAGTATGTTTACTTATGTCGTATACCGTATGACGTTTACAATATCGAATCTAGCAGTTCCAATTTTGAAAAAAAAACTTCAAATATGTGTGATGGGAGGTGGGGTACTATATTGTATTTTTTTGAATAAATTCAAGAATAATTTTTCCTTTTTTTCTGGAGCAAATATCGAAAAATAAACAAATCTATTATTATTATTATTATTATTATTATTATTATGAAATTAATAACTTTTATCTTTCATTGTTAGATTTACATTTTCTCTCTCTCTTTTATTTTGACTCAAATTTTAATTTCAGTATAAGCATGCCTGTTCTCTTAACAAAAGCGTTCACAAAGTTAAAATGTGTTATCGCATATTTTCATTTTGTTTATGTAATATATTCTTTGTTTGTTTTGTTTTTAACTTAAATTTTATAATTTAAAAAATATATATTTGTAACTCCTTGATCATTTTATTATAATCAGAGCTATTTTTCCTGTTTTTAATTTGTTTTTGTTTTCGGTTTTATCCTAAGCTTAAAAACGACATTATTGGAAATTGTTTTTACAAAATCACGTCTTTACTTATAAATTTAAAAAAAACAAAAAACAAAAAAAACTTCAAATTTAGGAATCCACCTCTAACTTTTAGAATTCTCTGTGTTTTTATTTGTTACAGGATTAATTCCAGATTTTTTTCCCCTTTATATGCACTGTAAGATCCAAATATTTCTTGCCATGTGCTTAAAACACATGCGTGGTTTGTGATAACAGTGTGTACACGCTGAAGTGCATCATATATCAGGGTATAAACAGCGTTATTTGATAGAGTCTGTTTGCTTTTTATTTATACCTTTATATATATGTATACATATGTGTATATAAATCCGTTGTCGTTGCTTAAAAGGGTTGTACCTCTCGGATATCTGTATGATCCAAGCACAATTATGTCTGGCACACGATCATTTATCGAAATGTCCTTCTGTAATATAGAAATGCTTTTAAAATCTCCAAAAATTTTACTAAATAAGATTTAATAATTTTAATAAAGCTTAAGTATTTCTGTGTTTTTTTTTCTTGTTTTTTTTTTTTTTTTTACTGTTCTGTTTTTATAATATGAATTTTCTGAACAAGAAAAATCAGAAATTAGAATTAGTTTTTGAAAGAAGCAAATGTTTTTGCGGAGTTTTTTGCACCAATTTCTACTTGTACTATTATTGCTATTTTTCTTTAATGTTGACTTCGTTGAAGTAAATGAAGAATATTACAAGTTCTTTTGACTTAAAAGAATGGTGTTATTTTTTGATAAATTATATATATATATATATATATATATATATATATATATATATATATATATATATATTTATAAATTTATATATATATATATATATATATATATATATATATATATATATATATATATATAAATATATCTATGTATATATACACAAACAGATATAAAACAGTGTATGTTCTGTCGTATACTATAGTTTTTCGTATATTTTATTTTCAACAGGTGAAGTTGAAACAGACAAACGTGTATATCTTTTCAAATATAAAATCCAGTTTTTGCTTGAAATAAAGATAAAATTCTTTACGTCTTTTGTTGGCGGAAATAGTTTATTTTCTTTCACCTCACAATAAAACCACCATTTTTCTGATTTTTTCTTTTCTCTTCGTTTTTTTTTCTTTTTTTTTTTCTATCTTTTTTTTTCTTTTGTTTTTATTTTCCTTTTGCAATCTCCGTCTTACCTTTCTTGTTCTGTTTTTAAAATCTCCTTCTTAGGCTATGGCCGATACAGTATCAGTAACTTATTGATGAGGCAAATATTCCTTTTCGTCCCTTTTATAATATTGTGTCTCTTTATCTTTCCTCTTCCAGACTTTATTTCCAAGTCTGTCTCGGTGAAAGTAATTCAGCTCCATGTACATAATAGACATCCAGTATTCCTGTAAAAAAAAAAAATCTTTTCACATCGTTCTCAGTTTTCGTTGTTGTTTCTAATAGTTTTTTTTTCAGTTTTATTTCTCAAAACTTTCTCTTGGAGATAATCACCATCTCTGAAAATTAATTCCGGATTTATAAATGGAAAAAGTGTGTCGCTTCTGAGTCTTGGCCCCTTTATTTGAAATAGCTAGTCCCCACTTTTCTTTCCCGAATTTTTACTTTAAGAAATCCAACGACAACTTTTCTTTGTCAGATGTGATTATGAAAGTCTCGCAAACTAATGCCGATTGAATTGTTTTCTCCCTCAAAATTCTCTTTGGGAAGAGTGTTAATAAACTGTATCTGAAATTCAGACACACATATAATAGGATCCACTTCTAAGTTTTTCAGTGGAAGTTATCTTAAAAGTTCCCTTGCAAGGGAGATAACGCTGAAAGGAATCCGATGTCCCAGATTGGAAGGGCTCAGAAATAAGATTAAGTTTTATATATGTATATGCATGTTTCGGTGTTTGTTATAAGTGTTATGTTGGGCTATTCTTGCGAGTTTTTCAAAACTGAATATTTGAATATGTGATATACAAAAGCTTTTTTTTTTTTATACAAAATCATATATATTCTTATAATTGTTAAAGTTATGGGAAAAATACAGACTGAATGGTGTAAAAATGATATAAAGGATATTAAAAAAAACGTTATTTTCTATTTTAAAAATAAATAAATAAGCTTGCAATAAAATCGTTTAAAACTTATATATGTATATACTAGATAAAAACATATAATTGGCCGGATTTTCCACAAAAGAAGTTAAGTAAATGCATAGTTTCGACAAGCATGCATATATATATATATATATATATATATATATATATATAGAGAGAGAGAGAGAGAGAGAGAGAGAGAAAGAGAGAGAGAGAAAGAAAGAAAAAGAGATAGAGTGATAGAGATAGTGTTACTGATATGTGATGCGTCTGTCAGTCCGTTAAGAAAAGATCGCGTTGAAGTAAAAAGTTATACGTGATGTAAAGAAAGTGGTAATAATTAATAGCTACTTGACCTTTATCTTTTTCTTCTTGTTCACTTTCTCCTTTCGTTTCATAAACTACAGCCGTTTTTTCCCCCATACCATTTCAGAGATCTCACTGCCGACGTCCTCTCTTCGTGGTATTTGGTGTTCGTACTAATTAGATGGGAACACATACTAGAATGAAGAAGCTGGCTGAATGAGGGCAAAACAGCCCTGGAAAGTTAGTGGAAGTAAAAGCGAAAGTGAAAGTAATACTGAAAGTGAAAGTAACGTGAAAGTGAAAGTTGAAAAGAGTTGAGAGATAGCGTCTTATGTACGATTAACAAATCGAGAACTATATAGAAAATTAGATAGATAGATAGATAGATAGATAGATAGATAGATAGATAGATAGATAGATAGATAGATAGATAGACTGTTTAACAATCTTGATTCGCTAAAGTGGAGAATTAGGAATTAATGTATGGAATGTATTGCTGTGTGATAAACCGTTTGAAGTATGTGCGTATATATATTTGTATTGCTATATCTTTCTATTTATATCTGTCTGTCTAAATAAATGTTATTGTAGTTAGATTATGTATTGTGGTTACTTTTTTGTGCTCTGTTTTTTTAAAGGAATGCAAGGAAAGGCTAACCGATAGGAAGGGCCGAGGCCTAAGCTGAAGCGGAGAGCGGATGGTGATTCAAATTTTGCTTGCAACGAAGGGGGGGTTGTGTTAGTGACGGCTCGATCCGCTTCGACATACACACGAACACAGGGACAACAAGGAGAAAGTTCTTACGCAAGTGGTTGTTTAAAAACCGTGACAGAACTCAACTAAGGCGCTTCAGAACTGGACGAATGGATTGTTTAGCGACAGACAGACAGACTTGCTGGTTGGCTGGCTGGTGATCCAGAGAGAATGGTCGTGAGTGTCAGGCGTGGGGAACTTCAGAACAAGTTTGGAGGGAGTAAGAACAATAGGCAGGAGGTGACGAGGTAGTTGGACAGCGGAGGGACAGAGAGTATTTGATACACAGAGAGAGAAAAGAGAGAGAGAGCGAAAGAGAGAGAGAGAGAGAGAAAGAGAAACAGGGAGAGAGAGGAGGGGACAAACAGACTGATCATTTGGTAGATAACGAGAGGAGTAGAATGAGGCAAGCAGACATGGATTTTAAAAGGAGGCGGAGTAGACGTGGTTAAAATGTTTCGGGGGTGAAAGGATGAGGGGTAGAGGAGCTGGCAACTTAGGGAGAAGGAGGAAGTGATGATAAACAATAAAGGGGGAGTGGCGAGGAGAGGCGAGACAGAGAGAAATAGAACTCAAATAGTGACAATAAATTTGTTAGTGATAGCTATGTCGGTCCATTTGTCTGCCCGTGTTTTCGATATGTCTGTCTGTCTGGCGGGTTGGCTGGTTGACTGAGGGTGCTTGCATAAAGTGCAAGTGGGCAAAAGCTGCACCGAAAGCGTGATAGGGTTAGAAATGTGCGTGGCTTGATGCATATAAAAAAAAATGAAACCTAATCTATCTGAAAAGTAAATTAAAATCAGAGATAGATAGATAGATAGATAGATAGATAGATAGATAGATAAAGAACAGACTTAGATAGATAGATAGATAGATAGATAGATAGATAGATAGATAGATAGATAGATAGATAGATAGATAGATAGAGAAAGTGAGAGTAATTGACACAGGCGTACAGAGAAAAAGGGAGGAGCGAACTTCCTAATAAAAAAAGTTTATTTTCGTGAGAGAGAGAGAGAGAGAGAGAGAGAGAGAGAGAGCGAAATAAAGAAAGCGTGAAAGGAAGCGGAGAGAGAGAGAGCGCAAAAAAAGAAAGAAAGAAAGAAAGAAAAAGAAAAAAAAAGAAAGAAAGAAAGAAAAGAAGAGAAGGCGAAAGAAAAGAAAAGAAAGAAAGAAAGAAAAAAAAAAAAAAGAAAGAAAAAAAGAAAAAAAAGGAGAGAGAGAGCGTAAGAAAGAAAGAAAGAAAGAAAGAAAGAAAGAAAGAAAGAAAGAAAGGAAGAGGAGAGAGAGAGCGTAAGAAAGAAAGAAAGATAGTTGATATCGAAGAGTAGAAAAGAGAAGGCAGCAAAAAAGAACAAATTAAATGAAATAGAAAAATGAACAGGAGAGAACATGAAAGAAAGAAAGAAAGAAAGAAAGAAAGAAAAAAAAAAAGAAAAAAAAGAAAAGAAAAGAAAAGAAAGAAAAAAAGAAAGAAAAGAAAAGAAAGAAAAAAAGAGAGAAAGAAATACGAGTTAGTGAAGGAAATAGTAAATTGAGGCCCGAAGAAAAAAATAGTTATATGGATTTTTACGCTGAATCAGACTGACCGCTACGTAATAGGGAGTTTACGATTTTTATTTTTTTTTTTTTAAAAAAAAAATTTTAATTTTCAGTGGGGGGAAGATTAAAAAAAACAAAAATAAAGTGATACGAATGCAAAAGGAGAAGAATGAAATCGTTGTTTATGGAAAGAGAGAAAAAGAGAGAAAAAGAGAGATCAAAGGCCAGAAGGAAAATGAAAAAAAAGAAAAAAAGATGAAATACGAAGAGAGGAAGAGAGAAAAGTTAACTTTTTCTAAAACACTACAAAGCATAAGAGGGAAAGAGAGGAGCAATTAGCATGAAAGAAAGAAAAAAATATTTAGAGAGAAAAACAGTGAGTGGAAGAGAGAGAAAGAGAAAGAAAAAGATTTTAAAAAAAGTCCCGTGTTCGATCCCAGGAAATATAGATGATTTTTAAATGCTGATTTTCTAGGCGATCAGAACTAAATCACGAAGAAGATAGGCGCTATAACTCACTTTCTTCATTAATTGGGTCCAGGGGTTTATTAAGCCTAATAAATATTAATCTCACTTGAAAGGGCCTACCTCGTTGCTAAGATAGCTACGTGTTAACAGCCGGGGCGAGATATCCGTGTTCGCGCGCGTGTCAATGTGAGAAATTGGTAAAGAGATTCTCGAAGTAAGGCGGCCGAATTTGGAATAGCAGCGCAAAATATTTTTCCTACACCCACCCGACCCTGTATTGCACTATGCAAAACAAAGTACACGTAAATATATGAGAGAGAGAGAGAGAGAGAGAGGAGAGGGAGAGAGAGAAAAAGGAAAGAGAGAGAAAGTAACACAACTATGAAACCAGCTACTCTCTAAAAGTGAAACAAATCAATTGCAAAAAGTCTCTCTCTCGCTCTCTTTCTCTCTCTCTCTCTCTCTCTCTCTCTCTATATATATATATATATATATATATATATAGAGAGAGAGAGAGATAGATAGATAGATAGAGATACAGATATATATATACCAGTATGTTTATATCCATCTATACCATTTGATCTATCTATCTATCTATCTATCTATCTATCTATCTATCGCAGTCTGTTTATATCCATCTATACTAGATGATCTATCTATCTATCTATCTATCTATCTATCTATCGCAGTCTGTTTATATCCATCTATACCAGATGGTTTATCTATCTATCTATCTATCTATCTATCTATCTATCTATCTATGTTCTTATAAATGCATCTATTCATCTATTCGAATTTGTCTTAAATTTAGAATTTAGGGATATATTCCAGATTAGGTCTGATATCTATCTACCTAGCTATCTCTGTCAGTCTGTCCCTATCTATCTATCTATCTATCTATCTATCTATCTATCTATCTATCTATCTAAAAATATAAGATAGATAGGAATATATTTTAGACAAAAATTGTTGAAATCTCACGGGACAGTCATTTGCTTAACGAGTTCGATCCTCACTGTATACCTCTGCAGAAATGATATATTTGAACAAATTCTGGAGCCATGACATTGACAATGACACACTCCTACACACACTCATATATATATATATATATATATATATATATATATATATATATATATATATATATATATATATATATATATATATAATCTGAGGATTGAATAAAGAGTGTATGTAATAGTTAGGACGGAGAGAGTCTATGACGAAGTGAATAAAAAAATGTTATTATGTGTGTGTGTGTGTGTGTGTGTGTGACAGAGCGA